AATATCTTTAGACACAACATATATAGTAACAAATTAACATTAGTTACAATATAAATTTCTTAATTCTATAGAAACATAGAAACTATGCACATAAAATTTACCTTCACTTTCCCACTCTTTTGATAAAGCCTTGAGTAACCAATTTAGTCCAGGTTGCTGCTTTCTAGGCCTTGTTTCTTCATTGTGTGTATTTTGTACATATTGATTTCTCACTACAGAGTTTTGAACCCTTCTCATTGAGCTGCCTAATTGCAAATTCACTGTAATAAAAATAATTAAAAAATTCATGTCACAAACCAATTCTGAGAATGCACAAAAAAGGTAGAATAACTCATAACTGATCGCCCCACATAATAAGCATATATATATATATATACACACACACACGCCCCAAACTTGTTAATACTTGTTATTATCAAATTTCTTTCAGCGCTTTATGGCCTTGCCTCTCATCCCTTCTTTAGCCGCCAACAAGCTAAGGGCTTCTTGCTTCAGCGGGTTATTTCTCTCCCTGAGGTTAAAGCTGGTACAATATAGGAGTATTAAACTTAATAGATGAAGATACCGGTGGTTTGTTGGTCATTGATCGACAAGTTTCACTTGAACATCTAGTTCAAATAGAAGAAGAAAAGGAAATCCAAGTTTCCGTCGTAATTCAATCAAGTTTTTACTCATGTAAGCTTTGAAAGTGCATGTAATATCTTCTCACGTTAGACTTTGACTTGGACACAACAATAGTAGTTGTTATATGATATTTATTAGATGATTATTTTGACCCAAAATTGACTTTGTAGGCTCAGTGTATGTGTATTTTAAATGGAAAAGAAATTCACTCTTAAGTAATTTACCATTATATCCTTATACAAACATTTAGTTATAAAAGTCAATCAATATTTTTGAAATTTTTTAGTCGTTCAACATTCAATCTAAATTATTCGTGCTTTTATAATAAAATATGGATATAGATATAGATAGATAGATAGATAGATAGATTAAAACAACTCAAGCTTGCAATAGATGTACAACTATATATTAGCTCCCGCTAATTTGTTCCGGACATCGTGTAAAAACACTCTGAACTATAAAAAAACAATAATACTAGAAAGAGCTTTTTAAGATAAGAGTCCATTCTATCAAGTAATTTATGTCCCAAAAAACTTATAAATAGTTGTGCATGCAGCTTGCCGAACCGGCTGAAATGTAAATAATTTAACAAGACACGTAGAATGAAGATAGTACGAAGAATTTTTTTCCAATTCGATAAAACTTGTAAAGAATTTATGTCAATGTTATACAGGCCTGTCATAACTTGTGAACTAGACAAGTTTTATTCATCCAAATTTATACCAAGTTATATATTGTCTCTAACATAACTTGTGAATAAGTTGTACCAAAGTTATGCATGTCCGCCATAACTTGTGAATGAAGAAGGTTTTACCTATTCGAATCCAATAAAATTTTATGACCAATTTGTACCAAAGTTATGAACCACCAAGCAACTAGTGAAATTGTAATTTTCGCCATAGATAAGTCATAACTTGTGAAAAGTTATGATCCACCAAATTATTGTTGCAAAAATTTATTTAAACGGAAGTAAAACTGTTGGGATACAATTAGTTCAATGTTTGGGCCGCTCAAGCCTATAAGGTAGGGATAAGTGCACAAATAGCCATTCTCAGGAATTTGAAATTCATGATGCACCAGCTAATTTCTAAATAAGTCTTTTAGAGTGGCTATCTGGTGTCATTTCTACGTGCCTGAACATAGGCAGCCCATTTGAGGAGTTTGATGTTTGGGCCATGAAAGCTGATGTAAGGTAATGACTAATGAGCCACACAAAAAAAGCCGCTAGAAGGAGGGGTTGAACCTCCGACCTTGTGGTTAACAGCCACACGCTCTAACCAACTGAGCTATTCCAGCTTGTTGTGAATGTCTGCAAACGTATATTTATATTTTATGGTCTCATGTTAAGATAATTTTCCTTCAACTTTAATACTTGTTGTTTTCAGTTAATTAATACAGTATATGTTTTTTAGTAGAAAAACTTTTTATGCCTGATTAATATAGTATATGTTTTGTAATTCTATAGTTAAATTATGTACATACATCCAATATTTACGCTAAATCAACAAAAATATATGACATTTGCCAATACATACATAAATCTCTGTAACTTGATCATAATGGCTATTGTACTCGCACCTCTATTACTAACACTTGACACTTTGGTGAAGTAAGATACTTTTTTCTCTGTTTCACCGTATGTAATATTATTACTCTTTTGAAAGTCAAATAAATTTTTATACCATATATCTACAAATATTTTTTAAATATTTTGAGTTGCTAACTATTTTCACTTATACAACAACAACAACAACCCAATAAAATTCCACTAGTGGGGTCTGGGGAGGGTAGTGTGTACGCAGACCTTACCCCTACCCGAAGGAGTAGAGAGGTTGTTTCCGAAAGACCCTCGGCTCAAGAAACAAAAAGATAAAAAGAGACAATATTAGTATCACCACAGAAATCATAGGAAAAATAGGGACAACATGAAATTCAGAAGAAAGATGCAAAGCAAAAGCGATAACTAGTAAATAGGTCCTGCACTGAAAAGCGAAATAATAAGACACAACATTGCTACTAGCTATCTTAGACAAAAACCCTACCAGACTAGTCTCACAAAGGTACGAAGTAAGGTAAGACTCGATTACCGCCTAACCTACAACCCTAATACTCGACCTCCACATCTTCATATCAAGTGTCATGTCCTCGGAAATCTGAAGCCTCGCCATATCCTGCCTGATCACCTCTCCCCAATACTTTTTAAGCCGCCCTCTACCTCTTCTTGTGCCCTCCACAACCAGCCGCTCACACCTCCTTACCGGAGCATCTGGGCTTCTCCTCTAAACATGTCCGAACCATCTGAGCCTCGCTTCCTGTATCTTGTCATCAATGGGAGCCATGTGCACCTTCTCCCGAATATCATCATTCCTAATCTTATCCATCTTAGTGTATCCGCACATCCACCTCAACATCCTCATTTCTGCTACTATCATCTTCTGGATATGTGGTTCTTAACAGGCCAACACTCAGCCCCATACATCATGGCCGGTCTAACCACCGCTTTATAGAACTTACCTTTGAGTATCAGTGGTACTCTCTTGTCACACAGGACTCCAGATGCTAACCTCTACTTCATCCATCCTACCCCCAATACGGTGTGTGACATCATCGTCAATCTCCCTTCCGCCTTGGATAATCAACCCAAGGTACTTGAAGTTGCCTCTACTTGGATGACCTGTGATTCAAGCCTCACATCCACGCCCATCTCCCCCGGCTCAGCGCTGAACTTACACTCCAGGTATTCCATCTTCGTCATGCTATGTTTGAAGACCTTAGACTCAAGAGCCTGTCTCCAAACCTCTAGCCTCTCGTTAACACCGGCTCGTGACTCATCAATCAGAACTATGTCATCGACAAATAGCATGTACCATGGCATCTCCCCTTGAATATAGTGTGTTAACACGTCCATCACCAGGGCGAATAAGAACGGACTGAGCGCAGAACCTTGGTGTAACCCCATTATAGCCGGAAAATGCTCAGAGTCGCCTTCTACTGTCCTAACCCGAGTCTTAGCCCCATCATACATGTCCTTAATCGCCATAATGTAGGGAACCGACACATCTTTTGCCTCCAAGCATCTCTAGAGAACTTCTCTAGGAACCTTGTCATACGCTTTCTCTAGGTCAATAAACACCATGTGCAAATCCTTCTTCCTCTCTCTGTACAGTTCCACCAACCTCCTAACAAGGTCTATAGCTTCGATAGTAGAACAACCTGGCATGAATCCGAACTGATTGTCAGATACAGACACTGTCATCCTCACCGTCGCTTCAACCACCATCTCCCACACTTTCATGGTATGACTTAGTAACTTGATACCCGTATAATTGTTACAACTCTGGATATCAACTTTGTTCTTATACAATGGAACCACCGTACTCCACCTCCACTCATCCGGCATCCTCTTCGCCTTAAAAATAACATTAAACAACCCAGTCAACCACTCCAAACCTGCTCTCCCCATACATTTATAAAACTCCACCGGAATCTCATCTGGCCCGGTCGCTCTACCCCTACTCATATTACGCATAGCTCCCATGACCTCCTCAACCGTGATATGCTTGCAGTGCCCAAAGTCACAGTGACTCTCGAAATTCTCCAATTCGCCTAGCACAATATTCCGATCCCCTTCTTCATTCAGAAGTTTATTAAAGTAAGTTTGCCATCTCCTCTTAATCTGGGCATCTTCCATCAATACTTTACCATCTTTGTCCTTGATGCATTTCACTTGGTCCAAATCCCGAGCCTTCCTCTCTTTCAACTTGGCCAGCCGGAATAGCTTCTTCTCCCCGCCTTTTTCCCCCAGTTCCTCGTACATACGACCATAAGCCGCAGTCTTAGCCTCCGTGACCGCCAGCTTAGCTTTCTTCCTAGCTACCTTATACCTCTCCATGCACATTCGCCTCTCTTCCTCACCTATGCTCCCCACTAATTTCAGGTACGCTGCCTTCTTCGCTTCCGCTTTACCTTAGACCACTTCATTCCACCACCAGTCTCCTTTGTGCCCACCGGAGACACCCGTCGAGACCCCTAACACCTCTATCGCAACCTCCCTTACACAGTCTGTTGTCGCTGACCACATAGTGTTCGCGTCACCACTGCTCCTCCAAGCTCCCAATAGCCGACAACCGCCCCTCCAACTCTTGGGCTTTATTCTTAGTTAAGGCTCCCCACCTGATTCTCGGTCTTCCTTAAGCAGGCCTTTTCCTCCTCTTTAACATAATACCAACGTCCATCACCAAGAGCCTATGCTGTGTCACGAGTATCTCACCCGGAATCACCTTACAATCCTTGCACATCCCTCTGTCACACCTCCTGAGGAGGAGATAGTCAATCTGAGTCTTCGCCACCATATTTTGTAAAGTAACCAAATGCTCCTACCTCTTCAGAAAGCTAGAGTTTGCAATCGCCAACCCAAAAGCCTTAGCGAAGTCCAACAGCAAGGTACCTCCTCCGTTCCTCTCCCCAAAATCGAAACCTCCATGCACCTCGCCATAACCACCTACAGTCGACCCAATATGACCATTGAAATCCCCTCCTATGAATAGCTTCTCAGCAGGCAGAACCTGGCGCACCGTCTCATCTAACCTCTTCCAGAAGCGCCGTTTAACCTCATCATCTAGGCCCGCATGCGGCGCATAGGCGCTAACGACATTTAGGGTGCACCCTCCAACCACTAACTTAATAATCATCAATCTATCATTCACTCGTCTAACCTCAACCACAGACTCGCTAAGATCCCTATCCACCAAGATACCCACTCCATTCTTACCTTTCTGGACTCTCGAGTACCAAAGTTTATACCCGTCCGCGTCCTTCGCCCTCTACCCTACCCACCTTGTCTCCTGGACACACGCTATATTGACCCTCCTCTTCTGGAGGATCTTCGCCAACTCTATAGACTTACCCGTCAATGAACCTACGTTCCATGACCCAATTCTCAACCTATATACACCCTTGTTCCCTTTACCTCCCTTGCCTCCCGACCCACCACCTAGCCCCTGCCCTACCTCCCGCCCCACCCCCCGCTCCCCCCGAGGACATGACCTCATTCGACCATCCCAGACCACTACCACTAAACCTACGGCAGACTAATGGGAATCACTAACACACATAAGGCAACAGACCAAACTAGAAGAAGACAAGTTGCAACTACAGGCACACTAATACGGTGAATAAATTAATACGAACTAAGATGGCAGCAATTTAACTAACGCAACAAAGGGAAACAGGAAAAATGGGAGGTACCAACTCCCGCGAGTAGAACCTGGGGATTGTCTTGGTATACATGACGATGTCGCGGCCACCTAGCACGTTCACGTCCAACTCCGGTCGTCCCTTGCTGATTGTAAGTTAATTTTATTATAAGTTATAATTGTACAAAAAATATATATAATCATCTCAAAAAATGAATGGTGAAAATATAAAATATTAGATGTTGCTAAATTTGAAAGGTGCGAATATAAAATATTAGATGTTGCTAAAATTGAAAAGTGAAAATTGAAAATACATTAAATTAAAATACATAAAAATTGAAACTACGGTAAATAGCATAATAACTTAGTAGGGAGGTATGTCGTTTCCAGATACACCAAAATCATTATAGTATTGAGTGAATGGGGCTGAGGATTGTTGTGGTTGTGCAACAACGTTTTGCAATTGTTGCAGGACCCGCACGTTTTTGGCAAAAAGAAGTGCTACATGATATAATGACTACATGTATTATACTGCACAACATGATAATCGAGAATGAGCGTGATCTTAATGCACCAATTCAAGATGATTTGGAAGGTCCACCTCCAACAGTAGAAATGGCAGTAGATGAAAATCAACGATTTCAAGAATTTTAGCTCGACATAGAAGAATTAAGGATAAAAATGCTCATTTTGCACTTCGTAATGCATTAATGGATCATTTATGGGAGAATAGTAGAGGTTGGAATATTTATGTAGTATTTTGAATAAATTTTATCGTTATGTATGTATTTAATTAATCTTGTATCGCAATGATTTCACTTTTATTTGAATTATTAGTTAATCTATAATAATTGCTTACAAATTATATTATTTAAAATTTTATGGAATTGTTTTAATGGAAATTACAAATTAATGAAAATAAAAGATGGAATTTGTTTAATGGAAATTAAAAAATAAAATTGAAACGAAAGATAATAATATAATATAGAAGAGAGAGAAGAATATAAAAAAGTTTGGGAAAAAAATAGGGGAATGGTTGGAATAAGTTGTCCCCAAAATGGGGAGGGGACCAAAAATTGGGTAAAGGTTGGAGATGCCCTTACGCTTATTTTAAAAACAGTCAGTAATGAGTAAAAACCGAAAAATTGTCACGAATTTCTAGTGTGTGTGAGTTTGATTTCAAGAAAAGAAAGAGAGATACCTGTGAAGGGGAAGCTGGCGGGTGGGAAAGCACAAGGGAAGGGTTGGTCAAAAGCCAAAAACTTTTACAATCTCTCTAAAGATATAGTTACACTAATATACATATCGAGATCTAAAAACAGCGAACAAGTAGATACAATAAAAACCCACAAAAGGAATATCTGAAGCGCAAATAGAGCACCAATCCAAATATGAAGCCTTTGTTACGAAATTTAGCTCAAATTAATAATATAAAACAAGAAAATAGACAAGAATGTAGGGAGCAAGAGAGAAGAGATTCTTATTTATTCCATGTATTCAAGCATGTACAATGTGGTGCCAAAACCCTATATTTATAGGATTACATAGAGGCATACAAAAGAATGCCATAAATATGACATTAAATATTTGAGATCATGGAGGAAGATCATGGGGAGGTTATGGAGGTGTGGGAGTTACAACTATAATGGTGAGAAGTAGTGGGAGCTATCTACATAATGGAGAAGAGTAGTGGGAGTAACTTCTTTAGGAGTTATAGACATTCACTACAAAATATAATATTTCATAACACTCCCCCTTGGATGTCTATAGATAATGTACCTCGTTAAAACCTTACTAAGAAAAAATCCTGTGGGAAAAAATCTTAGTGAAGGAAAAAGAGTACACATATCTTGTAATACGCATTATTTGCTGCCTCATTAAAAACCTTGCCAGAAAAACCCAGTGGGATAAAATCTTAGCTAAGGAAAAAAGAGTACAGCGCGTATTTGTCTCCCCTGATGAAAATATCACTTTATTCTTCGGAGACGACAAATTCCAAGCTTGTATAACAACTTCTCTAATATTGAGATCCGCAATGCCTGTGAAGAAGTTTGTCAAATTATCACTTGAACAAATTTGTTGAAGAACTTTGGTGAATGTGCTTTATTTTGTCTCCTTCGATAGTCCTTCTTTCAATTGAGCTATGCATGCAGTATCATCTTAAATGTAATTGGAACCTTGTTGAATATCATAATATGGCATTACCTTCATATACAAATAGATTGTTTCAAAAACGAATTCCAGAAAATGCCTGCATTTCCATAACCAACAAAACCTTGACAATAATTGTTAGAATAAACAAATCCATATCAAAGATTCATTTTGCAATATAACACTAATCGTATTTCAATATACATAGGAGTAAAAGTATATCTCGCTAAAATATTGTTATACTTATGGTTCTAGCAAGATACATTAGTGCACCAGTTGCAACAAATACAAAAATAAATCATGCACACCATGATTACTCTAATCCACATAAGGATCTGCTAAAACTTTATATTTCAGAACAATTTAAATCCTTCAAGGGTTTTCATTATACACATATCAAGTTTTTCATGTACTGCCAAATTAAAACCTGAAAAGGATTTCATCCACCATAGGAGAACTTATCTCCATATAAAATGCCGGATATTTTACGAAAAATCTTGTGCTACAAGTCGTCTATATGTCTATTGACTTGATTTTTCATTTCACTTTCAGGTGTTGGGATTATCCGTCCAACATCACATTTTTTAGGTGAAGTCAATTTTCATTGCGTATTTTTCATTTGGCCAATCATTTATCTGTTCAAATTTCATGACACATTTGAGCTCAAGATCCTTGCCTATATTAATAATATTGAACACTACATTATATCAACAATATCTTTGACGATCATTTTACATCGGTTCCATCATCACTCAATAAAACATAACTTATCGGGATCTCATTATTTTCAGGTACCTGAGCCTCTCCCATGAGGTCTTATGAAGTGTTATGTCATGGTGCTCTTATATAGCACTTGCCTCCTTATTATGACCATCTTGAACATTTTCTCCTCTCCTTCTTCAAGGAGTTTTATCTTTGGAACCGATTAGTCTATTACGCTTCATGCGTTCCATAGACTATGTCCATCATTGACTTTATTCTATTTGGAGCATTAGTAGCTGAAATATGACATTTAGTTTGAGTCAACATATGCGCATGGCAATATTTTGTAAATGAATTATCACTTGAACTTCAAGTTCATATTTTCTTGTACGAGGATCTAAGTGTACTCATAATAATTCATTTCATGTATTACTTTTTTCAGCTGCTCGTTTTCTCCCCCTAATGTTGGGATCAACAACACATATCCCCAACCTTTTTTGGGGACCAATCTTTGTGCATTGTGGTGGCACAATTAAATCATATAGTACATCCATATTTCTAGATGAAAATATTTGGTTCTTGACCCTGAACCAATTGTGATGGGGAGAGTGTATCATAACTTGTTGGCTAGATGCGTACAAGTGCTGTTATATATTAAATAATACACTTCATACAAAAATTTTATTTGGAGTTTTTTTCTCATAACCAATGGTTTAGCTATAATTGGAGGCAAACAATTTCTACTAAACCAACTTGGATTTAAACCAGCAGTATCATCACAATTTACATTCTGGAATTGTGCTCTAATAATTTGAGCAAGCAACCTTGCAAAAACCAAGTTGCAAGTTGATAACCAACGCACATGTGACCATACAATAGATGCATCTATTAAAATCATATAATAGTAAACGGTCCAAATGGCATGTGACTGGGCCCATATATATATCACCTTTTATACGTTCCAAAAATCAGAGAATACAATCCCAACCCCAGCTGGTATAGTAATCAATTTATCATGAGAACAAGTCGTACATGAGAATTCTCGAAGAATCTCCTTAATTCTTCAATTTATGCCAATGTGAATTCTCAATCATTTTTCGCATCATAATTGAACCGGGATGGCCAACCGGTCATGCCAACTGATATTTGTTTCAGTAAATATTTAATTTACTATGGCATGTGATTTCATCATCATGTTTATACATCTGTAGTACAAATAGAAGAAAAATCGGGTAACCTTCATATTTACCCGGTATGTTATAGTAATATGAAGATAATTGATCTTCCTTTCATTTATAGTCTCAATATGCCAACCACTTTGGCTAATACATTTGAAACTCAAAAAGTTTCTTTTGAGACTTACTACCACCAGTGCCATGAATAATTTTATTTATTCGGGTAGTAACAAATTCGCTCTTCTGGATCTCTCAATAATTTTGCACTACAAGATCTTTTGTAACACCATCCAAGTGGTGAATTTTTCCTCCACGGAGAAAATTATCTTATCATAATAATTGTCATGGTCAAAATTATCATAAGCAAAATCTTTTCTTGCTTTAATTTTGCCTTTATTAACTTTTTATAAGGCATGTCAAAATATTTTTGGCGTACCATATGTACGTAATCAGTGACATATTCATATA